AGCAACGGCAGCATCAGCCTGAGAAGAGGGCTTCGTGACGGGTTTGGAGTTCGCCTCATCACTGGGTGCTGAATCCTGGTCGCCCTTAGCGTCGGACTCTGGGGAATGCGGAGTATTGGCAGTTTCGGCAATAGTGACCTTATTCGTAGACGCACCACCAGCACCTTCAGAGTTCGCCGTATCTGTTGCTTTGTTAATTCCCGGTTGCTTAGAAGGGGGAGCTATGTCATTCCCAGCTTCCCCTTTCGGCCCTTCCCCCTTTGTGCTTGTGAGAGTAGAAACATCAGCATGATCATTCCCCGTACGCCGTTGAAGTGTATCATCACTACGTGCGCCAACACTGGAAGAAACGGTTTGCTGATTGCTCCGTTCCGTCGGGTGCGCTGCCAAACCCAGCTCACCTTCCACCAACGGGGCAGAAGCGAGTTTGTCCTGTTCCTTGGTTTCGGGCTTTTTCCGTGGCAAAATTCCCGCTGCAACTTGAGCGAGCTCAAGTAGAGATGTAGCGTCCCGGTATACCTCATCAGCCTTCTCCGATACCACCTTGGCTTCATTAAATACCAGTGTAGCCTTGGCGAGTGCATCGCCTGCGCTTTTTACTGTATTTGTGGCATCCTGCAGTGCAGTCTGAATATTCTTTTGATCACGCGGACTTATATAGTGCTGGGTGAAGTCAATCTGCGCTGCAAAGGAGGCATGCACATTTGCTGAGTGAGCGGTATGGAAAGCTGCGTAAGCGGCAGCCATTGCTTTATTGGTGCTGCGATGCGCTACAGTAGCTCTTTCTTGAGCCTCTATCGCCCTATGAATAGCCGACGCAGCAATCTTCTCTGCTGCCGCAATGTCTTCCTTTGCGTCTGGAAACATTTTTACCATACCCTGAACTTCCTGAAGTGCAAACCGTAGTGAGTCCACTGCTGAGATCACTCTGCTTTCTGTGGTTAAAGTTCCCCTCTCTGTTTCACCACAGGATTGAAATGCCACTTCAGTCTTTAACCGTGCATCATTGGCCTTCTCTGCGGCAGCTTTAGCTTTCATCTGCAGCGCATCGGTTCCCACTTTGGCACTTTTCTTCACCACAACACTATCCACCGTTTTATTCAGGTCGTCCAGTGCTTTATAAGCAACATCCACTGCCACATTGGCTGCCTTTGCGTCATCCACAGCTTTCTGCGCTGTCTTCATCGATGCATCAGCTTTTATTTTGAAGCTCTCCGCATCTTTCTTTGCGGCCAGTGTGCGTTGGACAGCTTCACTCGCTGCAGCCTTGTCTTCCTGAGGGCTCACTGACGTCACAACGGCCTTCATTGCACCACTCCTGGCGGGGCTGATATACACCGCGGCAGACAGCACCGCATGTCTGCTGGACGTCACACCACCGCTGTGGGGCGCCGCACTTCTGCCGTATTCCTCCGGTGGCTTCTCCTGCGGCACCGCTGCCACGCACAAGGGCACAGAGCATAGCAGGAGAGTAAACACAAAAAGCATGGGGCGGAGAGTCGTGGACATCGAAATCGCTGAAGTAACTGGAGCTTGCAGCTGTGCACATTGGGGCCAGAGACAAAGAACACATCAGAATGTAACAACAGAAGATGTGAAAACAAAACAGCATTGCAGAAAACAGGAATAATCAGGAAGAAAAAAACATACCCAGTGCTAATCCCACGAATACTCACACACGGGGCGCAAAAGGTAAAATGTTGTCGCCTCAACAACAGTAAATAATAAAACGTCAGCAAGCGTATTTGGGTATGAATGTATGCCCAGATGAAGGCCTTCTGTGTTTATGTGCATCTGTACTGGTGTTGTGGCATTCTTTCTCAGGAGTGCAACGAGACACACCGTGAAACACCTGCCACTTGGATGATACGCCAATGCAGCTCACCTCTCTTCGTCAATTTCCCTATGAATGAGCTCTGGGTGATCGGCTACAAGGGAAGACTAGTATGCCGTAATTTGGCGTTCTGGAATACTGCAGGACCGTTTCCACTGCGCTTTTCACAAACATGCTCCAGCCTATTAGGATGGTGCGCATACGTGAGTACAACCAGTAGGCATCTGCTGAGCGTGCTCTTATCGGTGGCTTCCTGACCGAGTCAGATCACTCCAGTTACCACACGTTCTCGCACAGACACCCGCCCATTTCCTTTCCCCATCACTACACCGAGGAATCGTTACCAGTGATCGGTGCCCATCGTAGTTGTTGTCCCACCACGTTGGCCGCAGAGGGTAGAGCCAACAAATGGAGTACCAACCATAAAATTGCGGCTGCACACTTCCCACGCCAGTTTGTACACTCGTGAAGTCCGACAAGTGGAACTGTAGAAATAAACATACCAAGCGTTTTTCCAAACAAACGCTTGTATTCGTACCGCTGAGTTGCGCCGCACGCCAGAGTGCCGACACAACGGTGGGCGATAAGCCACAGTCGATGTCTCTGATCCACGTGCGCGTGCAGGTATGAGTTCAACCAGCTCCAGACACCGTGTGTTGGCCACAATCAGTGCGCACAACTCACACACGTTTTCTGCGGAAGGGGGATTTTGCCACGCTGCCTGACTATTTGCTGCGTGCGTAGTGATGCAGCTGCTCTCCAATGCATGGCTAACAGACACGCATACAGACACATTAATGAGGATCCATCTTGCTTCGATGTGCCCTGCGGCGGAAGAAAAACATTACCGGAAACAAGGGAGACAAATCCAAACAAATGAAACCAGGCAGAATAGAAGGACAGACAGTTCATGGCACACGCGGGTGGGAGATAACAAAAAAAATCCTTCCTGGCGCCTCGCATTCTACACGACATTGATGTCGTCACAATGACACTCTTCTTCTGTTATACCAAAGGAAATATCACCTTCTTTTTTTTCGTCAAGCGCATTCCTCTTCGCTTCTAGCGCTTCATTCATTTCACTAGAAGCTGCCACTTAACAGCGTGGGACTTGACGGTAGAAGAACAAATAATAGCTACAAGATGAACATATCGCGCCAAATGCAAAATAAAAAAATAACATGGAACTTACTAAGGAGCACCGAATGCCCGCGGAAAGACGACGGGCCTTTCGAGTGGAGGTCATTCATCATCAGACCAGCTCCACCCCTCCGACCGCCGCCGCAGCAACGATGCGCCATCCACATTCGTAGACGATGAGGGCGTTGACCGTTTCACCAGCGGCGCCGTGCCCACCGCAGCCACCTGCCCCATCTCCGTCGATCCGNTAGACGATGAGGGCGTTGACCGTTTCACCAGCGGCGCCGTGCCCACCGCAGCCACCTGCCCCATCTCCGTCGATCCGCCCTTGCCGTATTGGCCGGCGTCGGGTGGCCAGACACGAGACCAGCCACGGCCGAACAACCACTTGTTCCGGAATGCACGAGCACCAAAGTAAAAAATGAAACCAATCATCACGCACAGGGCAAGCAACACCACGCTTACAATAGTTAAGTAACCACTCTCTTCAATCAAAGGTTTGTTCTCAGCAGAAGTCACCGTGCTTGTCTCTGGGACAGGGGTATTTGTCTCCTTTCCATCAGGCTTGGGAGTGTCTCCATCTTTCTCATCCGGATCGGGAGTATTTTCGTTGGTAGCCTCTGGCTCCGTGGTGCCTCCATTGCTTGCCTCTGGCTCTGGGGTGTTTTTGTCGCTCGCCTCTGGCTCCGCGGTGCCTCCATTNGGCTCCGTGGTGCCTCCATTGCTTGCCTCTGGCTCTGGGGTGTTTTTGTCGCTCGCCTCTGGCTCCGCGGTGCCTCCATTGCTTGCCTCTGGCTCTGGAGTGTTTTTGTCGTTCGCCTCTGGCTCCGTGGTGCCTCCATTGCTTGCCTCTGGCTCTGGGGTGTTTTTGTCGCTCGCCTCTGGCTCCGCGGTGCCTCCATTGCCTGCCTCTGGCTCTGGAGTGTTTTTGTCGTTCGCCTCTGGCTCCGCGGTGCCTCCATTGCTTGCCTCTGGCTCTGGAGTGTCTTCGCTATTCCCCTCCTCGACGTCCGTTGCCTCACCAGGTACCGGTTTGGCGCCATTGTGTCCTACGAGGCGGGGAGTGCCGGACGGTTCAACGGCGTCGCGCAAATTGTCTTTCTTTTCTTCCGTACCACCACCGCCGAACTCCGCGTCCGCCGCCGCCGCGCCATATACGACAGCTTCTTCACTCTGGTCCACGGGTTTGGTGTTGGGGGCAATATGTTGGTTGGGATTATTCGAGCCGTCGAACTCCGCTGCCACAATATCGGCTGTTGACAGCAGAAGTCCGAGTAGAAACAGACTTAAACTGCGCCACATCATGTATAGTTCTTTGAAAAACTCTTAGCGCTGCAAAATAGATGTGCCTTTGGTATTGCTGAGAGCCGTCAGAAACAAGGCGGAGTGGACGGGAACACCGAAGATGATAGTGCATGAGGAAATTATCAATCACGAAACCCCCCCAAAAAAATATACACACACTAATGTAACCTCTCATTCAGCCTTCCCGAGATGTTTGGCAATGTGTATGCCACCGTTATCCCATAGCGACTCACACTGATACTTGTATTTCCAGTAACACCAACTCCTCTACTCACCAAGAAAGAAAACATTCAATAATGCACGGCAACGCAGACATATTTCCCAAGTGACTGTGGGCCACAGAAGGGAATGCATCAATTGTTGGAGGAAGACGGATGACAATTAATTGAACTACTTGTGCCTCAGTACAATACCACGTTTCTTGCGGGTTTCGGCACAGATTGCGCAGACAGGGTCCGTGTGGTACATGTTGTTAAGGAACCGCTCACCCCATTCCTCCGCATGTGTGACACTGCGCCAAGCAAATAGATGCCGTACTGCCACTTCGTCAAACTCCAGCTGCTTCAGATATTGTCCAAGACGCCGGAATCCCTCCTCCTCCTCTTCTTCCTCACCGCTCGTCTCACTCACCGTCGACAAGTCACCCAACATGCCTGGGATAAATGGTTCCACATCCACAAAGCTACTACGGCCCATCGGAACAAAATCGTCGATGTTCGGAATGCCCCAGTATAGTGGGACAGTGCCACTCAAGAGGGCATGGTACACCTTCTCTGTCACATAGTCGACTTCTTTCGTGTTCTCGAACGCCACGGCGTACTTGTACTTGCGGAAGACGCACAACTTCTGAGGATAACGACCCACAACAGCTGCACATTCAGAGGGGAGCGGGTGACTATCGCCACATGCACCATAGTTGTGAACAGAGTAGTTCTTCGACAGGCGACTGAATACCTTTTGACGGTTTGCTCTGCAACTAGACCCAAACGCCGCAACTGCTGACTGGCGTTGTTTCCACGCTGACCACGTGGCACCGCTGGTGGCATCTTCATTATTTCGGTTACCGTGAAGGATACTCATGAAATGCGGCTGCTGACGATGGGTCCACGTGAAGTGGTACTGCCGATGGAGGTGAAAGGAGACAATTATGCCAAACAAACGTTGATTAGCTTCATTATTTGTCAACTGATTGGTTTGGTTGCTTTCTCCGGTGTAAAAGACCCTGAGATACGGTCGCCCGTTAAGGCTTCGCTTTGGAGGAGACCCAATGTGATGAATCGTCACGTCCGCAAACTTGAGATGCCTTGATGACACCCGAGAAGTTATTCGGCAATTGAACTCCCGTTCCCCTTGCGGCTCGTACCTCATGCAGGACTAGATGCAGCCGCCATGAACCTGTGTGGCGTTCGTCATGTAATCGCACAGGTATGTTCCGAGGCCGCCAGAAACCACCGAAACATCTCGAAGTGCGTCGAACGATGTCACAAGACGCTTCTCTCGTGTCGGCACTGCGGGAGGGGAGCTTTCGAGGCCGTCATACGGGGGTGCTAGTATTCAGACGCACGCAAGGGCATTGACAACCACAAGAAGCAGCAAGCAGACGGCGTTTTCGCGCATGCGTGCCTTACTCCATCTGTTTCCACATTTTATGATGATCGGGGACGAGCACAACGAAAAAAAAAAGTATGTAAGCCCCCCAAAAAACATAAGGAACAAAAAAGGATACCACCAAATAAGGCCAAAGAAAAGCACCAACAATGCTAGCAGCGTGAATGCATTCCCACAACTGCCGTGGGCACCGGCATTGCAAATGGACGCTGTTGTGTGACTTTTACTCCCGTTCCTCCATGCATCTCATTCGAGCCACAGACTCTCTCCGCTGTACCTCAACTGAGCGCCAGCACAGACTTCGGTCCCGCACATGTGCCCAAGATGGGCACAAGAAAGAATAACCCTCAACGAGGGGGCACTTCCCCGCTCATCGACCGCACGGTCTGAGAGCCCACCCGCTGTTTCTCCTTCTGCGACTTTGCGNCGTCAACGAGGGGGCACTTCCCCGCTCATCGACCGCACGGTCTGAGAGCCCACCCGCTGTTTCTCCTTCTGCGACTTTGCGCACCACCGCAATGGGGGTAACACGCCTTCTTCGACAGGCGCCACAAGGTACCAGCGAGACTCAGCACACGGAACGAGAGGGGTGCATATTAATTCCAGACACGCGACGGCAAGAGAGAGGAGCCGTGGCTGGGTCGTGTGGGCCACGCCTCATGCCCGCACTGCAAGGAGCTGTATGCCTTTATCACACTTAACAGGATTCGTGCCTCTACGTGGATGGATGCTCTGGCGATTCCCCGCACCGAAACAGTGCCCTCCTCCTCATTATGCACATTATCGCTGTCATTATGAAACAACAACAGCAACAACACTTTGCACCGTGCCCACCCCTCTTCCCGCTCCCGTGCAAGAGAGCCAAAACCAAAGCGGAAGCGGTGACGGGCACCACGAGCCCCAGCAGGAAAGGCTAAAGGCTGTCAAAGCCGGCGGCCGCCCCTCCTCTTCACCTGTACATTGTGCCACCAAAGGAGAAGCCAAGAAGAAGAGGCACAAGGGAGGCACTGATTGGAATTATGGAATGGAGGGAAAACAATATATTCATTAGTCACGCGGTTCGTAACAATCAAAAGGAAAAGAAGACCACACACACACACATATATATATATATATGTATATACGTAGGCCTACACAAAACGCACAACCAACAGTGTGCCATTGCCGGACTACCTCGTTTGTTCCATTTCACAGCACCGCCGAAAGGATCAACGGCACCGAACAGAAGACGTACCAACCCCAAAGAAACAACATACCGCAATCCTGGAGAATGAGTGGCGGACGGAGTCTCTGGTTCTTCCACCGAATCACGATCGTAATGACACATGCCGTGATGATGACTCCAATAATGAGAAGGAATGCCGTAGGGCACAGGAGGATTCCATCCTTCAGCCTGCCGCGACAATCGCTGCGCGGCACTGCTCGATGCCATTGCGCGTACTGAAACAGGGGCAAAATGGCGCAGACAGCAGGTGGCACGGCCACCCATCGTACTTGCGTAGAGATATTTGTTGAACCTGAAGCCCGCAACGGTGTCAACTGAATCTTTCGCCGAAACAGGCTGTGCATCAAAAGCGCGTACGCTCGCCACGCGATGACCCGCACTAGAACGGTGCTAAAAAGAAGCTCACACACCAAGACCTCGATTGCTATGACGATCACAACATAAAAATGTCGTTCACTGTCCACAAACAGTGCAAGGACAAGAATCATCAAGAAATACATCGCGGCAAAAGAACTACTTACCGCCGTCTTAATTCCAACCGGTGTGCTTGCTGGCATGGCGTATGCCGAGAGGTACCAGAAGCTTCGCTCAAACAGAATAATCAGAGTCGGCCCCACCATATCCCACAAATGCGAATCGGTGCGATATTTCCCAAGCACGAGCCTAAACAAAAATGGAAGGGCGTCTAGAAGAATGTATGGTGCCGTGAGGAATACGCGGGCCTTGTACATAGAGTAAGCGATGAGTGGTGTGCCTAGGGCTACCCCACGCAACAGGCCCCAACACGCTTCAGGGACCTTCTCCAAATGAGGAAGTTGCGTATCAATTAGGGCAAGAAATACAAAACGCGACACGACAACAACCCAGAATATGCGTTTGCGGAAGAATAATCTACTGCACGGTGGCAAGTCCCACTGCAAAAGACGTGGTTCAACACTTTCTCCTTGTTGCACTGTACCCACCTCGCCCAACTGAGGCGATACACACACAGAGAGGGACACACCACCGCATGTGGGGTCGATGACTTCGTCCGACACGGCGTATCGAGCCATGCGAAGCTGAAGCTGCGTACTCTGCGCGTGCCTTTCCACCGCGTCGTACGCGAGGAAGAAGAGCATAGGTGTGAACAAGGAAAAAGGAATATAAACGTGCAAACCGTAGGTGAAAATAAAGGCGAATCTCTCCTTCACAGTGCAAAGACACGACATTGAGGAGCAAAGTTTGGGGCTGGATAAGGCATAGTGGTTCGTCATTACAAACGCTTCCTGTAGGATGAACGGTAGCACGAGGGCGAAGAGAATAAACATCCCAACGAGACGGCGCGTGCTCCGTAAATGGGGGTTTACTCTATTTTCTTTAACTCCATTACCATTACCATTACCACCAGCATCATGACCATTAAGATCTGAGAGCGGTGGAAGTTGCATAAAGAGTGGCCCTATTTCCCTGTTATTATTGTTCCACCGCATCGGAGAGTTGTCCCCTGCCACCATTCGAATCCGCTTCCCATGCTCCAATGACGCACCCGGCACGGAGTCCAGCGACTGTGTCACATCCGAATGAGGGAAGCAGGGTATTTCGAATGCCGTGTAACCCATACAGGTCAACTCAGAGAGTGTAGAGAGAGACGCAATGCGCCGAGTGCTAATGCCACCCTCCTCTGTTGCCGGGAAGTCATTCGCTTCCAGTGGCATCGTCACCGAATTTGTAGGCTTATCAAGGGGAAATTCACGGTTTACATCAGGCGCCCGGAGGCTCGCCACATCTTCCCTTTCCACTGGCAATGCAGTTTCTTTAGAAGAAGCAGAAGAAGTGCCCAACTTCTCTGAAAATACTTGTGATGCCGAAAGCGACGTGACGGTGTTGTTCCTTCTTTCATGCGATAGAGCCCGTCTTGCTTCTTCATCTTTCCGATGCTGACCCTGCTGTTCTACACCGAAACGACAATTTCTGCTCTGTGCACTACTGCAGTTGCTGCTACTAACTTCGCTGCTGAGGCTAGATCCTTCAGTCTGGAAAGCCCTTTTATCGCGTATGGGAAGACTGCTCAGCGAATGGCCCCGTGATAGCTGTGCGTAACCACTGGCCCCACATGCTGCGACGACCAGCGATGTTGCCCTCTTACGTATCCACTGTGTTCTAGTGCTAGAGTGTTGCAATTCGTCGTGGATACGCCTCGGCCGATTCTCCAAAAAAGAAAATTCGTTGTCCCCGCTTGCACAGTTGTAATACATATCTCTATCATCGGGCAATCTACTACCACTGTAGCCGAACATGTTTCCGCTCACTACCCTCGCTACTACACCTGCAGAGAAAACAAGTAACGCGGCCTATCGCAAGCGGAGGAATCCCACCGAGGCCTGTGAAAAGTGCACAAGCATACACGCAGAAAAAAAAAGAGTATGATTTTAAACACGCACACAAACGGCACAATAACCCAAAACACATACTCCTCCAGCCTGCTATCCGTTATCCGTTTGATGTTTTCTCACCCACACCCCACTCTCTCTTTCGATATATATATATANATATATATATATATATATATATATATTCTTACTTCAACCACTACTCTTCTCTTTCTGTGGGCGGCGAAACCGTTTCCGCTGGGCACGCATGCGCTGCATCTCTCTCTGCACCCGCATCGCCTCGGGCATGCTCAACCAGGACTGCACACCGTGCTGCAGCGCCTCCACGGCACCGCTGTGCACAGGCTGGAGTTTCTTCTGTTGCTCAATCCACGAGATGCGGCGAAGGTACGAGCGAATCGCCTCGCCGTTGCCGTCACTGTCGACGCCGTCATGACTCATAAGAAACTCGAGCATGCGTTCCCATGGAATACGGCCCTTGATGTTGTTGTTGCTCCTCTCGAGGCCTGCAGCGTCATCACGACCCGTCACATCCACTCCAAGTTCGCGCGGCTTCTCTAATGCCTCACGAGCCGCTCTTAAAATCACGCGCTCCTCTCCACCACGTCGGCTGTCGATGCCGTTTTCACCGGCGCCGGCAGAACCCCTCGCGACGGCGTCCTCCTCGCTGTCGTCCCTGTTCTTCACACCGGCGCTGCCCACCGGCGCACTTCCCTCAGTTCCCTTCCCTTTTGCTGCACGCTTCTCCTCCGCCCGCCTCTTTCTGTCGGCCTCCCGCAGCGACGCCGACGACTTGCGGAGTCCAGCCTCCACCGTGGTCAGAAACGACATGCGCGTCGGCAGCGACACCTTGTTCTCCATCGACGCCTCGAACTCCTCATCTTCGTTCTCATCTCGCGCTAGCCGGTCTCCGTGCCGGCGCAGTGCCTGCCGCTGCAGCAATAGCAGCCCGTCGCGGTCATGCGTGTTGTGCGCGAGCGCGTGAATGCGGTACACGTCCGGCCCGTAGCAAAGCACGTTGCACTCCGCCTGCGGGTCTGCCGGGTTCTGCTGCGC